TGAAAGAGGTCTATGTAATATTATTCCTCTCCCTACGCAGGGAAATGGGCGACTGGCACCCGACGCACGACCGCCGCGCCCCGCCCGGCCTCTTGCCCCACAAAGTCTCCCCACCTGGGCCCAGAGCCCCACCACCAGAGGGCGCAGGGAAGTGCGGAGGGCGGTGGGTACCACCGGAGCGCCCTGTTTAGTTGGTGCCGAGACGGAGGCCGGCGGGGAACCAAGGCTTCGAGGGTCACCACGCGGCAGCCCCCTGCCCACCGACGTACTTGCTGCGCCCACGGCGGGAGGAGGGCGAGGGTCTCGCGGAGAGGCGGGTAGGAGAGGCAGAGGGCTTAGGCTCCACTCGACCTGCTCCGTCCCACAGCTCGCCACCCAGGCTTCCAGCTTGGTCTCCGTCTGGGTGGGGTCTCGGTCTGGGTAGGGACTCTGGGTGGGAACAAGGCATACACGCTCACGGGAGTTGCGAGTTGCCGGGAGAGGTGCTACGAGGCAAAGAAGCAAACTTAGCCCAGCTGGGCGCAGGGAACCCAGAAATCAGTCCTGCCTTCGCCGGGTCACTCGCAGGGGCGCGTCGGCACAGCAATGGAGGGCTGGCGAGAAGCCTTGGGGATCTAGCCCGGAATGCCGGCCCAAAGCTCCGCGCGCCACTTCTCTCCAGCAGTCTCACATCGGGTCAAGTCCAGGGCCAGGGTGATATGCCAAGTGGCGAAAACGTGGGAATCCAGTGTCCAATGACCAAGCGAAGCAAAGTCGACGCCGTTAATCAGATTCTTCCAGCCGTTTTTGGCCATAGAGATTTGAGTAGGAAGCACGGACCCCCAGTAACGTTGGATAGAGTGCCTGCCCCCTTCCCTCCGTCCGGGCGGAAACTCCATGGTGCGTCCAACTCCTAGGCGGCAGCAAGTGGCCTGGATTCCGAGGTCCTGTCCTTATAGGCGGGGACAGAGAACGCTTAGGGACGCCCGGCAGGAACGCGGCTGCCCGCCGCGCCCCCGTGCCACGGGGATTCACAGACTGGTCTCTGAATGGGTGGCCTCGGTTCCCAGCATCTAACAACCTTGCCCGACCCCTGTCGCCCCACCCGCCAGAAATACCAGGGGGTACTCTGCTCAGGTCCAGGCCGCGCGAGGAACCGCAGTCTGGGCCACCCTGAATCCATCCATTCTTGCGAAGCCGACCTCGAGGCCTTGGGGGGCGAGGGGGGGGTGGGGGGGAGGGGGCAGGTCTGCCCGGAGGCCCTACGCCCTGCCCCGAGGGTCCCTGATCAGAGCCTGACGTCGGAGGTGAAGTGCCCGGTAAGTGGAGGGAGATTGTTTCTCGGAGGTCTGAACTCCGGACCTGATTGGAAAACCTCGATTTCCTGTCCCATGATAATGCCTTTTGTTGTGGCCACATTCTCCGGGGCCCTCAGGTGTCAGGGACTCCGGGGGGGCCGTTACTAGGCCTGATTTATCCGCAGCCCCACCCTGGATTTTAGTTTCTTCTTTAATCTGAGAATTCGTCTCTCCCAGAACTCCCCCCTCCCCTCACTCCATCCCCACCCACCTGGGGAGGTGAGGAAAGGGGCGTATGGAAGCTGAAAGCCTAGGGGCGTCTGGGTGGCTCAGGTCATGATCTCACGGGTTCCTGGGTTCGAATTCAGAGCCTGAAGCCTGTTTCAGATTCTGTATCTCCCTCTCTCTCTGACCCTCCCCTGCTCACGCTCTCTCCCTCTCTCTCTCTCAGGAAAAAAAAAAATTTTTTAAAGGAATTTGAGGGCCTAAAGCATCGGTGGGGGTGGGAAAGGAGGGGTGTCCTCAGGACCACCAACTGCCTTCCCCTCCCCCACACCCCAGTTCTGAATAGAGGTCACCTCCACACCGGGTGAGACCACCAACCCACACGCATTCCCAAAGGCACTGAGAATCAACCAGCTTGACTTCATAGGTCTGGTGGGAAGAAAAGGGTCGCTCACTCCCGCCTCCTCCCAGGACAGAGGAAACAACACTGAGAAGTGGCAAGTTTATCCGGGTTTGAGCTTTGATTTGGGTTCAAGCCAAGGGTGAGAGTTTGACCTGAGGGTCTGTCAGGCTCAGCACCAGCGCACCCTCCCAGGGCGGTCTTGCTTCCTTTCCCCACCCCCTCGCAGCCCTCAGCCAGAATGATCTGTCCCACATCAGGTACGTGGAACTGAAGCCCCCACATTCCCACCGGGACCCCAGCCCCAGGATGGCCCCAGACACACTGACGACGCCCTACACTGAGCCCTTGCGGTTGCACGCCTTTTGTAAATTTACCCATCTGTAAAATAGGAATAATAATACAAACTCCCTCTGGGAGTTGTTGTGAGAAAAAAAAAAAAAACAGTTAATGAATGTGGAGCGTTTAGCAGCGCCGGGCACGTAGTAAGTGCTCAATACGAGATATAAATAACGACGGTAATGGCTTTCACGTGTCAATCCACAGAGCCACGTTTAACCTGGTCAAAGAGCCCCTTCGGGGAGGTATATCTCTAACTCGCATGACGAGGACCTCGGGACGCCGACTTGCTCAGAGCAGTTCAACGGGGAAGAGGCAGGGTGGGATTCGCACCCAGGGCCGGCTCTCTCCTCCCCCACGGGTGGAGGCAGAACGGGGGGCCCAGCCCCGCGCGGACAGCCCCGCGTTCCCTCGGTGGCCGGGAGGAGTGAATCCTCAGCCAAAGGACCAAAAATAGCCACCAGCCGGAGCCGAGAGACCCAGGTGTCCTGCAGAGTCCCAACCCGCCAGAGAGAAGACAGAGCTGGCTGAGGTCAGGCCGGGCCGCTCCAGGGCCGCCGGGGGTCGAGCGGGGGTGGGGCTGGACCCCCACGTGCGCCGCCTGCCGCTGCTTAGCCAAGCCCTTTGTCGCGAGCAGCAGCGTTCGTGCCTCACTCGGCGGCTTAAAATAAAGACAATGTTCCCAGCCTCCCTGCGGCTAAATCCGGCGCGGGTGCGGGGGCGGTGAGAGAGCCGGGTGGGAGAGCTTCTCCTGGCCCTACCTCCCTTCCTGCCTCAGTTTCCCCATCTGGTAAGGGGACCTAGCCAAGTCTGGGCGGAAAAGGGTCATACAGCCCGGGGCGGGATTGGGGGGGGGCATCAACCCCCTGCCTCCGCTGCTTCGCGGACTTAAGGAGGAAACCGCCTGGGACGGAGAGGGGCCCTCAAGAGGAGGCAAGGGAAAGCTGGACACCCTCCTCTCCCGCCTACAAAATAAGTGTTTTTATTTCTAAAGGGACGTGTGCAGAGGCGGTGGGAGAAGAGAAAAGGGAGACCAAGGAGATTGGGGGGAGGGGGCAAGGAGAGAGCCTGAATCAGACTCGGAAATGGATGTTGAGCGTGGAGGCCTAACACCCCCACACTCAGCCACGTGTACGCGCACAAGTACACGCAGCCCCGCCGCGCGCACCAGCCTCAGCCGCAAACCGAGGACAGCCCAGCAGGGGGCAGCCAGAGTCTGCGCCCACGGACAAGGGACTGTGAAGTTCTGACCCCACGGCTGACCCGCTGGTCGACCCTGGGGGTGGGAGGGGGTGGCGCAGATTCCTTCCTCTCCAAGCTGCACTGCCTCCTCGACTTCCGAAGGGAGGTAGACTGGATGCTCGCTCTACCCTCAGCGGGCTTGGAGAAGCAGAGGTCCCCCACATGTACGTGCCACGTGTGCCCACCACTGGCATCCCACGGCTGCTGGCTAAGCCCTGGGGACTCCGGATTTGTTCCGTCTGGCCCCATTGGCAACTGGGCTCCGGCCAGAGGAAGCCCCAAGTTACCCTGGGGCATCAGGATTGAGAAGGGGGTGCTTGGTGGGGGAAACGTGCAGGGTGGGTAAACATTGGACAGGTCCCGACCCCCTGGCTTAGAGCCGAGGGACCAGAGTCCAAACACTTGCCCACCAGGTGTTAATCACACCTCTGCTCTTCAGTTTTCTCATCTGCATAATGGGAACAATAGACGATGCCTGTCCTTCCTACCTTCCACCCCAGGGCTTCAGCATGGCCCCTGGGGTGAAGGACACAGCAGCGCCACAGAAGTCTCCCGGGCTCTCCCCTGCGGTCAGCTCCCTGGGAGGTCTCTTGCCAGGTGAGGGCAGTGCAGAACCCAGGTCTCTATGGCAAAGGGCCCCCAGGGGTTCTATCTCTGAGGCAACTCAACACAGAAACCCCAAAAAGGGGGAGGGTACTGACCGAGCAGTGGGGCTAAGGGAAGTGGGCGGGGGGCAAGTTTGTCGCTTCACAGGTACACACCTGTGAGCCCTGAGTGGGAGTCAAGGGAGACAGAGTTTGACAAACTGGGAGGAGAGCTGTCTGTCTGCCTGTCTGTCTGTCTTCCAAGTGGAAGCTGGGGGTGGAGCAGGCAGGGAGGTAGAGGCGGCCTCACTTGTCAGAATTAGCAAGTTCTACAGTTGGGCAACACTCAGACACACACCGAATACAGACACACGTGTACACACGCTTCCTGGTCCCAGACCAACGGGGTGACTGACACCTGCCTTTACACAGGTTGCATGGTATTCGGGGACGCTCACGTGGGGGGCACTCAGCAGCACGTGCAGTGGGCACAAAGTGCCCCCACATCCCTTCCAGCCAGACCCCCCTATACCCTCACGCCTGGGGCCGTGCAGCGTGGCCAGACGCAGAAGCACGCAGCCCAGCACGCGGCCGTGTCTGCCCAGCCCCTGGGGCGGTGCGCCAGCCCTCTGGGTCTGTTCCAAGTTGGAGCCTCTCACGTGAGGCCCAATGTGTCATTTCCAAACAGAAGGAATCTAGCTCCTTCGCAGCAGGGAGGAAGAGCAGGGTGAGGGGAAGGGAGGGAGGGAGGGAGCGTGGGCATGTGCAGGGGGCAGGGCGAGTGTGTGAGGCAAGCAGGCATGTGAATGCCGGGGAGTGTGTGTTGGGGCATGGTGCACATAGGTTGGGGGCTCGAGGGCTGGGGTGGGGGAAGGAGCCCCGGGAAACAGTGTGCCTTTGTGAGGGTGTGTGTGTGTGTGTGTGTGTGTGTGTGTGTGTGTGCCGCTGAGTCTGTGTGCAGTGGGTGTGGGTGTTTGTCTCCCTGTATCCGCCTTCTCTCCCGTTCTGGACTTTTAGCCTTGCTGGGCTCCTTTTCCCCATGTCCAACGCCCTCCCTCTCGGGGCTCGGATGAGGTGCCCTAGTGGAGGAGGGGGGCACACTCCAGGAGCCTAGTCCAACCCCAGACGCTGCCTGAGGCTTCCCTCCAGCTCCCCCTCCCTTCCTTTTCTCCCTTTCCTCCCTCCCTCTCTTTCCTCTCCTCCCTCCCCCCCCCCAGGCTGGCGTGCCAGGGGGTGGGACATGCCAATCACTGGCTGTGCCTCTCCGGCTGCCAGCACAGGGCGCAGCTCCCCCCGGGAGCCAGGTGTTTGGGTCCCTGGAGACGCCGCCGGCCCCCGGGGAGGCAGTGGGGCTGAGGACCCTACAGACCCCTCTCCAGTCCCATGGTGAGTACATTTGGGAGGGCTTGGGAGGGGCTCCACTGAGGTGGGGGCGGGAAAAGCAGGGTCGTGGGAGCAAAGCAGAGACCAGGACTAGAAGGAAATGGGGATGAACCCCAGAGAGAGGAGGGGGCCAAGGAGGGGTCTAGAGGCCAAGGGGGCTCTGTAGCATTGGACATTGGCCACTCCAAACACCCCGTCTCCTGGCTTTGAGCAGATACACCTGATGTTTTTCTGGGGTTCAGCTGGCGGAGGAGATGGAGACCCCCCGTAGGAAACTGGACCTGGAGCCCAGACGGATTAGGCTACCACCTAGCAGGCAGAGGCCCCGGAATCCCAGGGACAGGGTAGAAAGGTCAGGGGGCCAGAGGGCAGCCGTTGCCACCAGCGTCCTGTGGGAGGTCGACCCCCACCCCCGACATTGGGGTGCCAGTCCCAGCACCTCCTCCTCTTCTCCCTCAGGGAACCCCGAATCCTACCACCCCCATCCACCTTCAGCCCCCCCGAGATGGACTGAACCAGGTTGCCGGCCAGACGGACAAGCTGGATGCCAAGGTGGGTGTTAGGCCAAAAGCCAGCAGGAGACCAGGCCCTGAGAACCCCAGGGCTCTCAGGGAACAAATGGGCACATAGAAGGCCACTCCAGCCAGGGAACGTGGCCCTGACGTGTGCAAGGGCCCAGAGGGCCCTCCCTGTGTCCATGGTATCTTGGGCTCCCCCAGGAGCAGGCCTCAGTCCCATGTCCTGATAATGCATGAATACTAATGGGCACCCATGCACCCATCCCGGGACCCCCAGACTCCACAAGGTAGCGATAAGCTGGAGGCCACGAGCTCTGATTCCTGCAGACTCACCCCTGTGAAAGGGGTGGTCAGCTCTCCCTGGGCCATTCAGACAAGGGCTGCTTAGGGGTTCTCGGTGCGAGTGAGAGGGGTTCACCTCCTGCCACAAAACATACCCACAGCTCCACCCAGGCTGACCCAACACCACCCCCCCTCCACCCAACTGGCCGGAAGGAGTCAGATTGTCTCCTACAGCTGGACAGTCTCCTGTCCCTGAGTAATCAGCTGCTCACTGAGCTGTCAGATAAGAGTTAGCTCTCTGCCCCCTGACCTCAGCCACTAGGCACGCTGTGATCGCCACTGCGATACAGAAGGCAGGGGAGGGGCTGGTGAAATGGGGCTGCAGAAGATGTGACTCTGAGGCTTGGAGATCTGAGAACCAGATCCCGAAGTGCAGAGAGGAGTCCAGAGCGTCGAGAAGGGGTTAGGCAGAGGTCACGTCAGACCTGAAAAGGAACCTCCCCATTGCACGCACAGACGGAGAGACTGAGGCTGAGAAAGGAGAAGGGACGTGCTTATGGTCACAGAAAGGATATCTAGGGGTCTTCTTGGGCCGGGACCCCTTTTCCTCGCCCTCAGCGCAACGCTGCCCTCCCACCTCCCTGCGCAAGACAATGGGGGTGCGGGAGCAGCAAGCTCTATGAGGCAGGAGCTTGGGCTCTGGAGGGGAGGGCGGGCGGGGAGAGGTGGGTGAGTATCTCGCTGGGTTTCTGCTCTGCTGTGATGCCATGGTGATGCTTAGAAGGATGGGGGAGGGAGGGAGAGCGAAGAAAGGAAATGGGGAGGAGAACGCAAGGACTGAAGCGCAGGGGGCAAGTGGAGCCGGAGATGAGGGGTGGAGCACTTCTGATGCTACCTTGGCAAAGTGACATCCAGGGCCCAGCCTGCTGACTGTCTGGCTCTGGCCATGGTGTGGCTAAAGTCGGGCAACTGGTTAAAGTCCATTAGCAGTGAGCGTGTTTGGCAGTAATTCAAGGGCTGACGCTCCTCTTCCGGCTCAGCAGCACATTTATGAGCATTTAACTGATGGCTGCTGCTCTCCCCAGGGCTAGTTGGCACTCCCCGTGGTGACTGTCGAGCCTGAAGATGGGGCAAATTGTATGTGTTGACCCCCTGATTCCCGAGGCCAGGCATCAGAGGTAGGAGTTTGGGCACCTGTAACGGGTTGAGAGCTACCTTCAGAGAAAAGTTAACCCAGGGGGAGAGAGCCGCCTCTGGGAGGCTAGGCTGGCTTCTGCAGCAGAAGGGACCAGGCAGGAGTTCTGCCCCGAGGAACACCGTCCTCGCTGCACACGTGAAGTCCCACAAGCCCAGCCCCAGAGGCCCCACCTCGTGTCCCCTTCTCCCCAGTATTACCCGTTCTCTCCAGTCAGGGATCTTGCAGCTTTCCCAGCCCAGGATCCCAAGATGGCTTCACGCCTCCCTCCTGAATCTCTTCCCCAGCACCTTTTCCTTCTCTGTCTCCCCTTCTCTACAACCTGGCCCGTGGTTAAGAGTCAGGCAGCCCAAGTCTTCAGGAATCCCTCTCCCCAACAATCGCCCCTGACCTTCCCCTTCCTCTCGCCAGCCAGATCCCCAGCCCCTGGGGATTGGTCCAAGGCTCTGGCGGTCAACAGTCTGGGCAGCTGTTCTGGAGGCTCTGACCTCATCCCTTAACTCTTTGAGCCCAGGCTGACTTTTTCCTCTCCCAACACTAACAGGCCCCAACCCACACCCGTGCCTGTCCTGTTTCCCCGCAGCAGGTGCGTCAGGCATCCCTTCGTACATTTTACAGACGAGGACGCTCTTGGCCATTCTGCTCCCGTGCTCTCAAGCCAGGCGGGGGCCTCACCCAGGAGATAGAGAGCCGGCAAGTGAGGGGATGCAAGAAATGGAAGGAGCAAGGAGTCCGTGCTCTAGAGCCTGACCCCTGTGGATTCATGCTCGTGCCCCTGGGCCTGAAGTCAAACAGGAGGACCTTACGTACATATTCATGCATTTATTCCACAAATATTTGTTGAGCAACTCCGTGTGCCAAGCACTAGGATAAAGCAGAGAATGAGGCAGACACAGCCCCTACCCTGCCTCTCTGAGAGCAATGGCTAGACCTCCCCCCTCCCACAGCGCTGTCATCATACATCACGCAGATGGACCACAGACACTGTCACAAATGCACACATGCGTGCGCGCACGCACACACACACACACACACACACACACAGAGGCCAGATTCTAAAGGAAGGACTGATTCCTCACTGACTCAGACTGTGGGTTGGCCAAGCCAGTGAAGGTGGGCGAGGAGGCTGTCAAGTTCACCATTGCCACAAGGGCAGTTTAGAGTAGGCAGGGGTCCAAGAGGTTCATCTTGGAAGCAGACTGCCTGGGTCTAAATCCTGGTTCATCACTGATGAACCGTAAGATCCTTAAGGTCTCAAAGCCTCAGATGCCCCTTCCACAAATAGAGGATAATAAAATGTGCTTCACAAGGAGTTGAAACTGATCAATTAAATCCTGAATATAATCTTTAGAGCCATGGTCTGGTGTATGATAGGCAGTTGGTAAATTTGAGTTGCTATGATATGTTAATGATATTATTAAAAGCTCCCAACAGGGGCATCTGGGTGGCTCAGCCAGTTGGGCATCCGACTTCGGCTCAAGTCATGATCTCATGGTTCATGGGTTCGAGCCCCGCATCGGGCTCTGTGCTGACAGCTGAGCCTGGAGCCTGTTTTGCATTCTGTGTCTCCCTCTCTCTCTGCCCCTCCCGCACTCATGCTCTGTTTCTGCCTCAATAATAAATAAACATAAACTAAGTAAAAAAAAAAAAGCTCCAAATAATCTTTATCAGGAGGCCACGGTCCCAAGAGAAAAGGACCTCCCTGCTTCCTTGTCCCCTTCCAGTGCCCCAGACGTGACACCCTCAGAGGACGAGTCCCAACCCATCTCCACAAAGCTACAGACTCACCCCCACCATGTCCTAGTCTCACTCAGCAATGCACACACCCTCACACACACACAGTCATCCTACAGAAGGGTTACCAGGGTGGAAAGTGACTTGCCCAAAGTCACACAGCAGGGACCAGAGGAGGCAAATCACTGTCCAAGAGAGGTTTGGGGGTAGACCCTTGCTTCTTGATTGTGGAGGAAAGGCGGAGTTATTGACGGCTCTGCTCTTGGGCCCAGGGGCTCAGAAGATCCAGGAAGTGGCAAGAATCAGGATCTAGTTCCCCAGAACTGCTACCCTTCTCCTTCCCCCGGTTGTCCCAGATGGGAGGCCTTAGGCCCTCCAGCTCATAAGTGGGGCATAGACGAGTCTGCCACGTGGAAAGAATGAAGGCTCTGGAGCACATAGGCCCAGGGCAGAATCCCAGCTCCACTGCTTCCTCTGAGATCGTCAGCAAGCCACTTAGCCCCCTGAGGCTCAGCGTCTTCATCTGTGAAATAAGGATAAGAACTCTCATTGGGGTGCCCTATGGATTAAATGAAATGATATCATACATTAAGTGCCTGGTATGCAAGAGGTGATTAACGTATGCAAGAGGTGCTTAGTTATGGTGGTTATCAATGTGGCTATTTTTTCTTAAGGTTTTTTTTTTTTAAGCAATCTCTACATCCATATGGGGCTTGAACTCATGACCCAGACGTCAAGAGTCTCAAGCTCTTGCAGGCGAGCCAGCCAGGTGCCTCATCCGTGTGGCCTTTACAATAAGCAGGGCCCGGGGGCGGGGCGGGGGGGGAGGTTGGGGGGGAGTACTTCCAGCCATTAAGGAGAGGGACTGCCATTCAGCCTCATCATTTCCAACAGTCATTTCTCATAGTTCCCCTATTCTGAAACCGTTTTTAAAACTCATCAAAGCTATAGCTAACTTTAACAAGAGCTTGTGATGGTCAGAGGTTGCCACGTTTCAACCACAAGTAGATGTGATTCCAGCCCCAACTGGGAGAACCTAAGTGAGCCTTCAGCCTCTACAGCCTCCACTCAAGGACTTGGGTCCTTTCTGTTTAGAGTCTTGAGATGTTGATTTCAGGGCCCTGTAAAATCTCCCCACATGCCAGGCTGGTTCAGCTCTCTACTGTACAAGTGAGCAATCTGAGGGGCACTTGGCTGGTTCAGGTGGTAGAGCATGTGATTCTTGATTTTTCGTGATTGTGAATTCGAGCCCTACATTGGGCATAGAGCTTAAATAAAAAAATAATAATAAAAAATAGGTGTGCCTGGGTGGCTCAGTCAGTTAAGCATCCGACTTCAGCTCAGGTCATGATCTCCCGGGCCATGAATGCGAGTACCACATCAGACTCGGTGTGGGCAGCTCAGAGCCTAGAGCCTGCCTCAGATTCTGTGTCTCCCTCTCTCTCTGCCCTCTCCCTCTGACACTCTGTCTCTCTCTGTCTCTGAAAAATGAATAAACCTCAAAAAATGTTTAAAAGTAAATAAATAATAAATTTTTAAAAAGAAAGAAAGAGGAAAAAACAGATGAGTAATCTGGGCCCAAGAGAAGGGCTATGCCTGGATCTGGAGGCCAAAGGGCACAGCAAGAGGTGGCTGGGCGGTGGATCGGAATGAGGAGTCAGGAATAATAACAGAGAGGCGCTTTGGATGCTGTTAGCCCCATCAGCTGGCAGTGTAGGTTGGCCAGGGAAGGAAGGGTTAAATGATTGCTAATGATCAGACAGCTAGGAAGAGGCAGTTTTGAGAGAGGACACACAAAATAACTCACTAATCAACGTAAATAA